GAGTTTCTTAAGTCAAGAAACTCCCAAATCTCTTAGATATTTCCACACTTCAATAGGGATATCATTAGGCCTTATTAATTTTCCACCCTTGGTTTTATTTTATGGCTTCCTCAACTTTCTTTTTACTAATGCGACGGTAAAAATAAAACATTTTATTATTATTAACGAATTTAATATCACTGAGGCCAACCAGATTTTCAGAAATTTCATTGAACAATTTATCAACATAACTCACCCAATTATGTTGAGTATCTCTAAGAAAAAAACCTTTTGATTTTCATCTTTAAAATACTTGAATTAAATTTTTATTTTTCTTTTCTCTTTATTTGACTAGTATATACATATATTTTTCACTCTCTTTAGTTTCTAATTTATTATAAATATCACTGTAATTAAAATTCATAACGTTATAAATTATTGTCTTAAACTCTCTATTGGCCACATTATATTTTTCTCAGTTCTCTGAGCTTTTATATTTAAACCAATTTTTATAACACTATGTCTTATATTTTATCTTTTTTACACATTAGTATTTCACCTCTAATTATTTTTATTTATAAAACTTTTACCTTTTCATTCTCCAAATATATCTTTTATCGCTTGTTAAATAGTGCTCGTTACTTTATCCTAGTAGAATTAGATTCTTCATAAACATTCCATATGTTGAAATCTTGAAGTTTACTCATAAAAATAATTTTATTTGTATCTTTTAGGTTCCCCCATCTAATTCTGTGATAATGTTTCATTGTATTCTTTATCTTACAACTCTTAATCTTAAAATTTAGAACTAATAATCTATATTAAGTACTTAAATTTTCATTTGGAATGACCTTATAGTCTTGATATTCTCGACGATCTCTTTTCCCCTTAAGTTAATAATCACTTTGTGTTTTATTAGATCCATTCTTATAAGTAATAATATGTTCATCTGTTTTTTTAAATAAAGTATCAACAATAACAAAATTATAAGCTAAAACAAAATCTAATATTATTATACTTTTTTCATTAATCACTCCAAAATCTTATCCACCATGCATATTCCTAAAATCTTCTACCACTCTAGCAATATGTTCATTTAAATATCCTCTAATAACAATTCTTACTTCAAGAGCTATCATTTGTATTTATTTTTCAAGTTCATTCTAAAATTTTTCTTTTGAATCTTTATCTAAACTTATTGGAGGAGCATTAATCAACGATAATCTTTAGGGTTATAATTTCATCTTCAATTCTATTAATTTTTACAACATTATCTTTCAATTTCGTATCTATAATTACATTTACACCATTTCTAGTGCGACTCCTACCTGAATAGCAAAGTTTAAAACCTAAGCTGTCAACCTCCTTAGCCTTTTCTCCAACCCATTTAGTTTTTTTAATGCATTAAATATTTATCTTTCTGAATCATAATATCTACTAATTGTATTATTTTACCTGTGAGAGTACCTATTTTCCAAGATCTTATCCTAATATTAGTTTCATGGACTAACTTATTTTCCAACATTCATCCATAATGTGAGAATCGTTGCTTATTTGATAGAAGGGCCTTTAATAGTTTAATATAAACGCAGGGATCCAAATTTACCTTTATTTTCTCTATTGCTCAAGGCAACTTTCATTTGTTTAGCAGCTTCTAAAAGATAGGGCACTCACTAACTTTCATTCCTATTTTGTATGGACACAAAACTTTGACAGACATTATCTGCTCCCTTATCACCATCAATATGAGCAGATTAGGGAATGTTTTTATATTGCTCTAAATTCAAGCTCCTTGTGTTGGATGGATTGGCCTTTTATTTCAAGATGGCGTGAACTGTTGTTTTGTGACAAGTTTTCAGAGAGAGAGAGAGAGAGAGAGAGAATATACTTATTTTACTGCCTTGACACCTTTGAGAACTTAATGGGTTTTTTCTCTTTAACTACCTCGGGATTTTTCTAAGTGTATTTCACCTCTCTCAGCATCCGGTGGATGAGATGGACCTTTTTTTCAGGCATCATCTTCTCTTTCTAAATCAACTGCTTTCCCCTAATTAAGGAAACAAGCAAGTTAACCAAATTTATCACCGTTTGCTTCTCCCTCAGCTAATTCCTTGGACATGGGCTTTTAAGTAACTTTTAAGCATATTATTATGTTGTGCTTCGTTGGCCATAACCAGCCTGGTCTCTGGCTTTGTGTGCACGGGCAAGGTGATGAAGAGAGAATGCCTTTGGATTAAGGTAATGAGGAGAAAACTCGCATGTAGATCCATTTTTCTGTTTCTTGATCCCTTGTAAATAATAGGTTTGACTTTATCATGGGCATAACTACTCTCTTTTTGCTGACGACTGGGTGGTTTTATTGAGATCTATGAGAATGCTTTGTTTATTTTTTTGGATAGTTTTAGTATTAGTAAATCTAGTGTTAGATTTGTAACAATGAGTGATCAATTCATTAAAAGATGTGAACGGTTTAGGTACCTCGGATCTATTGTTCAAAGTGATGGTGATATAGATGGGGATGTTATTAGTAGAATTCAAGTTAGATGATAGAAAAGTACCGTTTAGATTTAAAGGACCTCTTGAGTGATAGAAAAGTACCGTTTAGTTTTGAAGGAAAATTTTATAAGATGGTGGTCAGACTTGCATTGCTTTATGGCACATAATGTTGGCCTTTAAAAGAGAAGCATAAAACCAAATTAAGTGTTGCTGAGATGAGAATGCTTAGGTGGATGAATGGTTTAAGAGACAAAATGTGAAATGAACGTAACCGTGAAATGGTCGGTGTAGCTCCAGTTGCATATAAGATTAAAAAGAGTCATCTTAAATGATTTGGTCGCATTAAACATCGACCACCTGATGATCTAGTTAGGAGGGTAGATTTTAGATCCGACTTTTGTTAAAAAAGGTAGATGTAGGCCCAAACTGACTTGGGCATTATAATAATGATCTTAATTTATTAAAACTAAATGAAAATATGACACTCAATAGGACACAATGGAGAAGGATTCATGTAGCTGATCCCACTTAGTGGGATAAAGGCTTGTTGTTGTTCTTGTTGTTGGTCAATTTTACACATCATTATCATGAAGGACACAACCTTCTTCTTTGAAACCTTGGTTAAAGTTTACTAGTTCAAGCAGTGCACTGTTCTCTATGCTCTGGCATGCTTGTTTTGTTGAGATTGGGAGTGTGGACCTTTGAATAACAATTCCAAAAAATATGCATACATTTACTTCAGGTGCCCTTTGAATACTTATCTTTTCATCGTCAGCCAACATTTGTAGCTTTACACTTTTCGCACCTGCTCTTTTTCATGCAGCAGAACTCCAGTATAGCTTCCTCCACGATATTGATATGTATCTGATTTCGTTTACTTTTGCTGATGCCCATTGTTTCATTTGAAGAAAGAGGAACCAGACAGGTCTTATGGGTGAGACTGTGCTCAGCCTGGCTCCTTGCCAAGGGCTGGCAGTGGAATTCATTGGAAGTGCCTTCCATGGAGCACTTAAATGGATGGGGTATTTACATACGTACCACACAATTCTTATGTATTTTAATATCTCACACCTAAAGTTTCATATTTGCATACATATTACTCCAAGATTTAAGGGGATGGGGCATTTACATACATACCCACAATTTTTATATATTTAAATACATAGCAACTAAACTTTATTTTTTTACTTTCATAATACTCTAATGTTTAATGCCAAATAAAAAATACAACTAATACTAACTCATTTTAATGTGTAGGTTCTTGAAATCGAAGTGTTATAGATGTAAATATCAAACTCTAGGTGTTAGATATGTAAATTCAAAAGAATTATGTGGTATGTAGGTAATTTTCTCTAAATGGATTTGATGTCATCTTTTTCTGTGCCTCTTCTAGTGATAGTTATTTAGTATGAAATTCTCTAGCTTCGCAATTGCGGGTGGTTGTGTAAGCAAGCTTGGGCTGGCTTGTCGGGATGATATAGGTTTATGTGCAAGTTGTTCCGGCCAACTTGTGAGGGACTTCATTGTTTATCCTTCAGACTTTGTTGTGTGCCATTCTATCCTTCACTCTACCGCATTTTTCGGACCGGCATATTGCCGTAATAGCTTATCGTCTTCTTTTAATAAGTTTATTTGTTGATCCAGGCTAAGTTCCCCTGAAATTTTTATATTTGAACTGCTCTGCGGACTTTGATATTATAGCATGCGCAAATGCAACCTTTGGAAAGGACCAGACAGTATTATTGAGTTGTTTTTCAGTCTGACCACTAGATAACTACTGGTTTACAATTATTATAAGTTGCAATTTTGTCAAGGGGCGATTGGTGGCTTGATGGGTTTGATACTGAGTATAAGTTTTATTTCTTCTGATTTCAAGCATTGAGGGTATGGAGGAACTTGAAAATTCTATCTATTGCCAACATGTTTAGTTTTTCTATGTTTCTACCTTTAAATAGAATAACATGATTATTGATTTCGATCTACAACTTAATAACTAATGATCTAATCGGCAATTTTTATTAAATCATTTAGCTAACTTTATTTATAAATTAAACAGCTTATAATACCTCCCACTGAAGCACTACTTTCACGTCATGTTTTTGAAATCAAACTATTAAAATGGTTTTTGAGCCTCCTTAGCTTTTTGGTTGAAAGCTGTGCTTACAACCACAAAATAGAATTGTGTTCAAGACTTTTGCATATGTGGTGTGTGTGCGCTTACTATTAATTTCACTCAAATGTCCACAGATTAAAAAAAAAAAATGAAAATAAGTTTTAGATGATTTCTTATATGCTTAAAGAAATTTATTTGATTTGAGAATTACACTATGGAATTGATGAATCCCCCATCTCACTATGTTAACCATTCGTCAAATTTCTATTTTGTATGATTTACGCATGATCAAATCATCCTAACATTTCATTATTTTTATATCATCCTAATTTGTACCTCAAAATTTAAGGTCCATTGCAACAATACTTTTCTTTTGTTCGCACTTGTCCTGAAAGTCTTCAATCTATTCCAGGAAATTGAGGAAGTCGATACGGATGAACAGTATCACCCAAAGTCTCTGATAGAAATCGTTAACATAACACTGAAGCAAGAACCCTGAATATTAACTGCATAAAGAGTTACCATCCACCTCTTCAGGGCTTTGTCCTGTTCCTTATAGGCCTATTGCAGCAGCAGCTGCTGAACTTGGTCTGTTACATTTGTTTCAGAAGTGTGAGATCTCTTGATTTGACCACACATTCTAAATTTCTCTCATCTGTAACCTTTGTGCTGCTACCATGTATAGGGGTACGTATCACTTGATTGAACGCTTTGTGGTTGACATCAATTTGCCTGGAATTATGATTTTTTCTAGTTTTCTTGCCTCTGTATAAATTGTTTTGTAAGAAGTGTAAGCTTAGAACAGACGAGATTTTGCTTTTGTTTAGCGTTGTGAAGCTAGAGTTGCAATTCATAGTGAAGTTAGACATACGGTTGTCACTACATTTTGTTTTAGAAATTTGGATGCAATTTTTGAACACCAGCGACACTAATGTAGGGCTTGTTTGGGATTTATTTTGTTTTTCGTTATTTTTTAAGCATGTTTTTTTTATTGTGTTCTTTACCTATTTTTATTTTTTCTTAAAAGATAAATTAACCTGTTTGCAAGCTCATTTAAAATAACGTTTCAGAGTGTTTTTAATAATAATCATATTTTCATTGGATATGTTAAATGGCTATAAATAAAATAAAATGAAAAATAAAAGCTATCCCAAAGTCCCTTAATTTTTGGGTTCAATTTTGTTCAAGCAATTTACATCTATACGCTAATTAAGTTGACTACAAGAATCAGATGCATGACTAGCTGAAAAGTGAACCGGATTTACCAATCTGCTTATCTTGTTGTAGGAACGAACATGTTTTATCATTGTTGAATGAAGTCAATTTCATGAGTGAATATGCTGTTGTTGATTTCTGGCAATTTGAAAATTTAATGGCTTGTTACTAGTTTTGTTAAACGAAATTAAATGGCAAACAGAAGGTTGTAAAAATGGCATCCGTCACTCTAATCAATTCGATAATGAATTGGATTATGATTTGTTTGATACATAGGGAAAGTTTTTTCACTCAAGACTAATCAGCTGTGAAGGCATGCAATTGAAATAATAATGGGAAGTAAAAGAGTTTAGGTGTGAAATGCTATGGTAGTATAGAAAGTGAAAGACAATATATATATGTTCT